TTTCCCTTTACCCCTCTTTACATATTATTTTTTCATTGTGTTATCTTTAGGGCAGTGTTCTTAAATTTTGTATATGAGTAATAGTAGAAGTTCAAGAGAGGAAAAAGAAAGCTAAGCTCGAGAGAAGAGAGGCAGATAGATGGAGATGAGGAACATCCCCCGAAGCAGCAGAAGGTACCAGCTGAAGAACAGCAGTGGCCAGAGAATATGCCTGAATGGGAAGAAAGGAAATCCCTGCTAGCTCAGAGAAGAGTGGAGTCTGTGAGACTGCTTACAGTGCTGTTAAACCGTGTGAAAGTAAGACTATTTTAAAACATATTTTAAACTTTGAAGGCTATTTATTAGATCTTTATTAATTCACTCGACGACATTTGATGTCTTGGTGCTGTTCAGAAGCACGCCTTGGGACAGACTGAACACTGGGAAGGCCTGAGTCTTGTGACAGTCTGCTCCCAGTCTTGCCCTAAGAGCAAGCATAGTGCATTTCCACCTAGAAACTTACTTGGCCTTTGATGCATGTTCAAGGCCTTGTCATTACTGAGTAAAAAATAGGGCTGGAAGGGCTGTGTCAGTTCTGTTAGACTTGATCCAGCGTTGCAAACAAGGAGTTCTGGGACGGGGAAACAAATGATGCTCTCTCTGCTTGTTTTGGTCTCAGGTCTGCAAGTAACAGGATTAAATTGACATGGATTATGCCAGTTGCATTCCTCGTAGCCTTTCTTTTGTGGCCAACACTAAGCTAAGTGTGAATTCAGTGAACATCTTGAGAAAGTCAGCAGAGGAGTGATAAAAATTTGAGTGTTTACACGCAGATTAATATTTGGAGATTTACTTTAGTGCTTTGGGCTAAAAAAGAAATTTTAATTGAAAACAGGGGGTTTTATTTCTCAGGGGTGCTACCACGGCTTTGTCTTCACTATTCGCTGTGTAAAAATTTGCCTGCAGCTTTTAACAAGTGTTTGTTTTCCCCAGTCCTTATGTTAAAGATTTCTAAAGGACTATAATTTACTAGGAGTTGACGTCAGAAGTCAGAAGCTAGCCTTGCTGTTCTGAACAACTTTTAGGGCCCCATAACATTTGACCTTGGCCTTCTTAGTGATGAAGGTGATATGTTAAAATAAATTTCTATTTTTTTGGTTTCACTACTTGGAAAGCTTTGGATTGGTTGTGTTTGGAGCCATTTAAAACAATGCATAACAAAGCAATTTATGCTAAATAAAATATTTGATCTACAAAAGTGTAGTAGTAGTAAATTGCATGCAATACTAGTTGTTGTGATGCTGTGATCAAACAAAGAATAAATATTTTCTTATGCAGTTGCAGTGAGATAGATGAGTTGGTTGAAAGGACCACTTTCTAAACTGAGAATGCAGCTTTCTGAGGTGATGAAATATCTATAGTTCTAACTTAGGAATAGTGTGATTGTGCAATGGAGCTCTGAACTAAGCCAAACTTACCCTTCACCTGTATGATTCTTCTGACTGTGGGACTACTTTCTTATGAATTTGCAGTTTAGTACTCTTTATAGCGCTCAATAAATGTACATAATAATTTTCCTGACTTTTTTATTTGAAGGATTTTGTGCAATTGGCGAGTCAAAAAGTGGATCCTTCGTTGGGCATAAGGAAGGACGATTCCTTTTCTGAAACAGCATTAAAAGACATTCATCAGGAACTGATTAACTCCCATTATCATACGCTCAAAGAGTCGAAACATAAGGAAGAATTTAAGTGCCCATTAACCCAAAAAGGTGGCAGCTTATGTAGTGAGGAAGGAGATGTGAGTAACTTCCGTGCATCTACTTGTCACATAGTCAGGACAATTTTAAATGATCCCTTCACAGCCCCGCATTCTGACGGAGTGCCTGGCAGAGATGTGTGCAACTCCTTTGGCTGCGGATCTTTACTGATCACAGTTACACAAGACTGCAGGGTCATCACACCTCTGGATGGAAGAGACTGCCCAGCATTGAATCTTGTTCACACACAGACAGTGTCTGATGAAGACGGTTGCAAAAAGCAAAAGGTTTATGAGACTGATGAATTCATCCATTATTTACTAAACTACTATCAGACACCAGGCTATGCACGTGTTTGCTTGGAACCAAAAACCACTGCAAACAAGTCCTGGTGGAAGAGAGTGGTGTCTGATGATGATAGTGGTTTTGACATCAGCTTGAGTAACAAACGTGGTCAGCACTTCAGAGAAGTGGGTCCTGTACAAAAGCTCAAGAAAAAAAATTGTAGTAGTGATGATAATTACAGACTGGTGGTCACTGTTGGAGAACTTGAGTCAACAGACACCGTGTTAGAAAACAACAGCTATGGGGGTAGGTTTGCAAAAAAGTTGCCAGTGCAGAGGAATTACTTGCTTACTGTTGATAACTTACCACGTGCTGGACTGAATCATTCTTTGGATTGCACTGCTGTTACTCATGATAAGGAATTCAAACAAGAAGATGGTAGCAATCAAGGTACTGTGCCATACAAAACATGTACATCTGCTCGCAGATTAAAGGATTTCTTGGAAGAGCTCAGTGATTCTGAGTACTTTAGAGAGCCACATAGTGGCACAATGAAGAGAACAGAAAGAAGGTGTGAAGAAATTTACAGCAATTGTAATAAAGGGTGTTTGCCCGCAAGAGCTGGGGAAAGAAAATTACTGGTTTACCTTAAAAATGTAACTCTGGAAGGTCAAGAGAAGGAAAGCAGCAAATGTAGCTTCTGCTGTAATTCTGTCCGTGAGGGCCTGACAAGGCAGTGTGAACATAAGCTTAAAAAGTCATGCAAGAGGTCTAGTAGTAAATTAAGACATGAAGGGCAGAAAAGCGAGAGACAATCCAGAGAAGAGGAGAGAAATGCTTGCAAAGTGAAGAAAAGGCAAAAAAAGCTTTCTTGTCATCTTTTATCTGATGAATGTGGCTTTTCAGAGACAGACAGTTGCATAGAGCTGGAGTCACTCAGAAAGATACAAAGGAAATGTAAGAAAATGTTCCCCAAAAATGTGAAGTTCGAGACTCTTCACACCACTGTGGCAGCACCAGATGTTACCCCTCATGGCTCACCACTTCAGGAGACCCTCCAGAGAACAGGTGAGAAAGAGGGACAGCAGAACTCAGGGGACTGAATTTGACAGGTCTCTGGTGGGTGAGGTTAGTTGCCACAGTTCTTACAGTGATGAATGGTAAGTGTTTTTAAAAAGAATTTTAAAAACGGTAAACATGGTGTAGAAAAAAAAAAAGACTGCAACTTCTCTGCAGTGCAGAGAAGTTGTGCAACAGAGTGCAACTCTGTTCAGTTTAGGTCAGAAACAGTACAGGCAGCTGCAGCTGAAGAGTAGCATTTGTCTACTTAGTTGGATAGCAAAGTATCTGCCATGGGCATTAGCAGGTAGGTGGTTATTCTGTTAATAACAACATGAATGCTAACAACACAATATGCTTTAGACAACTAAGATGTTGTTAGGCAGCTCAGCGTGGTGTATCTGGGTGGGAAGTACTGTCTGGAGTTAGTGAATTTGTATATAGGTAGTCATCTGACCTCCATACCCCATTGCTGTGTTTCTGGCTATCATTACTCACAGCCCTTTCACAATTTACTGTGCTTTCAGTTTGTTGGTGAGTACTTTACAGCTACCTTCCTATACCCTTTCCCTCCCTTCCCCCCAACAAACTAATTTCAAGTAACTTTTTCATATATTTACCTACAGGAGAGGAGAGGAAATTAAAGATGAGAAGAGAGATGGATGCAGATGTCAGAGGATGCCCTCTATTTCCTCTCGAGATAATTCAGACAAACCCCTGCTCAGATACTTTCTGTGGAGCAGAGCCCAGAAGAGGATGCTGAACAGTTGCTAAATAATAGCTCTCAAATTTTTATATAGATGTAGGAGAAGAAAGCCCTTTGACCATTAAAAGGTGTATGAAATACTGGTTTGGTTATTTTTTGCTTAGGTAATTCCTTTGGTTAGAATATTTGACTGGTGTAGTCAGCCATAAACTCAGAACCTGTGTTTGCCTTTTGGATTACAGAGGACCAAGACTTTCCCCAGGTCCAAACAAACTTTCATGGACCAGTTGCTGGTGAATGTGAAAGGATACAGATTGAGATTTTGGAGTGTTATACTCTGATTGAATGTAGGGAACCATGTAAATATCAAACTACAGTATTTAGTGATAATGAATAATTGGAAAAAAACATAGCTGTGTAAATTCTAGAGCAAGCATATGAAGTGCCTCCTCAGTCAGATTGTTAAAATGATGGGACTGGAAGGTGTGGGGGATGTTTATACTCAATTGTGGGAAGTAATAGATTTCCAAATACGAAAAATTTCCTATGTTCTGTAGAACCCACACTGGAAAAATGCCTTTTTTCTATTCACAGTTCTGAAAGTGTTTCTGAAAACTTGCTGGTCTTTGTGAGGAAGGATTTCTTTGAACTTGTGCTAGATGTAGTGCTTCCAGGAAATCTGAATGATTGTCTAAGCAAAGCTCTGAATGTTAGATAGTGAAAGGGCAGTGCTGGTCAACATACTGGCAGTCCCCATATATATGCAGGTTGAAAATTTATTCACCAGATTTTGAAGGCACATGTAGCGAGATAGCTATTTAGTATGAGTTTGCTTACAGATAATTTCCAGAGGAATTGTGAAATGTTGTCAGACTTATGCTTCATGTAGGTAAAAATGTGAAAACACAGTCTAGGAGCTTGTGTTATATCCATATTTATTCAGCTGGCTGTATTTAGAAGACAGCCATGATTGCTTTTGGACAAAGTCCCTTGGCAAGGTAGAGAGGACCAGTTCTAGGTTCAATACACTGATTATTTCAGCTTTCATTTTAGTATGCTTTATTTATTACATGTCAATATATTAAGTTAATGTGATAATGTTGCCTTCATTACGTAGTATCTTAACCCTCTTTGTAACTTCTGCTCTAATAAATAGTAATTAAAAAAAATGGTAGTTGTTCATGGTAGATAGGTTTTCCCCCAGCGTTCAGTACTGGCGATTCCTCCAGGCTTCTCTGTCCACATGTTTAGCTGTTGAGTGCCTTTTCATCATCATGAATGACAAGTGGTTGCTACTCAAAGGTACTGTTAATCTATTACATTTATCTGAAAGATCTTATTTCTTGACTAATATTTTCTGACTTCTTTGGAGAACGTTTATGCCCCTCTTAAGTCTCCTTTTTCATATTTTATACAGTTATATTGAAGATCAACTATTGTATTTGTTAACTGTGTGAAATGCTTCAGTTGCACTGGTACCACATACCAACAGTGTTTTTTCTCTACGCAATATTTGCGGATTAAAGATGACAAAACTTCCCCCTCTGTCAATCTATGAACAGTTCTGTGTCCGTAAGGACCCATTTCCCATGAGACAGGCCTCTGGATTACAGGTGAGGAAGTATTTCTTTTTGTTAATCTGGGGGAGCAGGAACTAAAGATTTCCTTTGGTGTAAATTTCCAGTGTTTTATCAACATGTTGTCACAATATTAAATAGCAAATAAATACACCAGTTCTGTAATTGTTTGTTGCGTTCATCTATAGGGTTGGAAACTGATAAAGCAAATCTTTTATCTCCAAGTCATCATTCTGCATAAAACATTGTTAGTAAATAAAATATATGTGCATTTTAAAATGTGAGACACCATTGTAATCTTCATACTGAAACAGAACTTTTGTGTTTCCTATTTGTTTACAAGTAGTATTATTACAACCTGTTTTCAGGGGTTTTAATATTAATTCCTTTTCCTATTAACACACTTAATTTGAGTCCCATCCTTTCATACACTAGACCATTCCGTGTAATTTTCTGTATTATTCTGAAGGCTAGTCTTTAAAGATGCATATAATAGTTTGCATAAAAACTTTTAAAATACATAGCTTTGTAGATTAAATTTCAATAGTTACAGGAATAAATGTCACATCTCAAGTATGCAAGTTACAGAATGTTTATACAGTTAGAACATTTAATAGGTAAAAAGATGCATTAAAAGCAGCATTTACACAGTTCAGCAATGGAAATGTGTAAGATTTCTGGCATAATTTCACCCCTTTGAGTCTGAGCCTGGCGTGTGCTGTTGTTTCAAGAGGTTTTTTTTATGGAAGCAGTGTTTACTGTGACATGTATGAAGTAGGGCCCTGAGACTGTAGATCTTGCAATCAAAGCTGACTTTCTGTACAGAACTAATGAAAATGCCTCCTAATCGAGCTAGTGAGAACAGAAGCCTTTTCAGGGGAGCTGTCTAAACTAAGCTTTGTCACTAAAAATAGAGGGCGAGTTGGCTGTACCTCGTGCTGAATGCTGAAAAATCCTACAGGCTGTTTTTAAAGCAGAAATACACAATGCCTGTTATTACATCAGTCCATCTGCTTGAAATATAAGAATACAGCAATTATGATATAAAGCCCTTTCGCCTTAATCCAGAGATTCCAGGCAATGCACAGAATGCCTCACCTTTTGTAAAACCCCTTATGTAACTCTTGGCATAAGCATTCATTACTGAGCTTTTTGTTTAACTGAAACGGCCTGAAGGAAGAGCTCATAGAGATGATTAATTGCGGGTAGAGTCCAGATAAAAGAATATCTGAATTTTACAAAGCAGTTGACAGTATGCCAGAACTGGTTGGAATTGTTTTGATTTGTCCTAGAGCTCCTCAAATATGCCTTTGTGACCCACACAAGTAGCAGGTGTTTGGACCTCAGATGAGGGAGATTGCTGACATCGTGTCCTACTTGGTTAATGTACAGTCTGATAAGATACCTGGCTTGGTTCTTTTTGCTTAGTCATTGCAGCCAGTTGCTGTTGAAGTGATCAAGCTGCAATGAATGGAGAGTAAAAAAGAAGCTAAACCCCATCCATTTTCTCCAGCACTTTAGAAGGAATTAAAATCCATGCGTGCTGCTTCATGAAACCGCTGCTTTTGTGACTGGCTTCTTCCCCTTTCACAGTAAATTGTTTTCTCTGACAAAGTAGTGGTCTTACCAAAGCCTAATACCTTCCCAAGAGGCACAGATGCTTAACATTAACCTTTGTCTTGTGGTACTGCCAGTTTTCTGTGTAGTTTTTGTTTATTAGTATTCTTTGTGATGCATCATGTTGTAATGTACAGATGAGTACTTTAAAATAGTGTTCAGCTCCTCAGGATACATTATGGACTAACTCAGAGTCAGGTGGATGGGTCCACTGAAGGGTAGGTTACAGCCTAGCCTAGTTCTGCTACACGACAGCCTTCCAAAGCTCCAGCTTTTGCTCAGTGGTAACAGTTACTTGGGCCTTTTTATGCCTAACTCTGTTTTTGCAACAGCAAAGCACATTATACAGCATGAGTATGTTCTATATTTAATATTCCATAAAGTTACACTAGAGAACTGCATTTACAGGCATTTAGCTAGAACATGTACTCTATGCGTTGGATAATGTAAGGCATTGGAGAAAGGCAATATAAAACTTGAAACATGGGGGGAGGATTACGTATCACATTTAGTTGCAGTAAATAAAAACAAACACCACTATTGTGCAAGAGTATTTTATTTTCTGCCTTAAATAAAAAAAACACATTTCTGATTTGAGGTAAACCATTAGTAGTAGTTTGCAAAGAGTATAAATGTCTCTAAAATAGCAACACAAAGGTCATGACAAGATTTACATTTGCCCCTAGTCCTTCATTAGGTAGTTCATGCAATACCACTTCACACAAGCTGTCTGGCTCAAACCACCGCACACTTCAGAAGGCCCCGTGTTAGCAAAAGAAAATGCTGTGACAGTGTTAGGACTGAGGGAAAGTAATTTGTTCTCAGCACAGATGGTCCCAGGCACTTTAACATGTTGTGTCAACTCGTTTATGAAAGCTGATGTTGTGCAATGCCCCCTACTTCCCAACAGTTCTGCCTAGTTTACACCTTCCTGCTCAGGACTCAGTTCATCATTTTGGTCGTGCTGCCAAATTGTAACAACTCGTCAGAACAGCCAAACCAGAGAAAAGTACATACAGGGAACTACACCAGACAGGCACACAAGCAGAATCACCTGGACAAGAAACATTTACACGTGATCAGCAAATCATTAGTGATCTCCTTGGAATTTCTGAGAAAGTTTTGCAGAAGTATTTTGGATGATGAAGGAGGACATTTTTCCTTGGTCAAATCCATTTACCCAGCTCCCTCTGGCAGGAGACTAGGTGACATAGTTGGAACAAACCTAGTAATTAAGCATAGATGTGAGCTAAGAGAGCAAACAAGTAAAAAGCAATTCAAAGGTCAGGTCCCCCACGTGTAGCATTGCTGGTTATGCATGAGATCGTGCCGCTTCTTTTAATGGCAACGTTCCAAAGCAACAAAGGCCTCACCACGGAAATGGCTTACACCATGTCATTTTATTTTGTACAGGAAACTTGTACAAGTTACATTAACTGCTAACATTTTTCTGCTAGTTAAAGCTGTGTGTACAAGAGCACTTGTGAATCATGCCGTACCAGCAAGTCTTTTTTAGACCTGGGAATGAAGAGCAGCTGATCTTCTCTGTTTAGTATTTTTTCATTAAAATTCAGAAAAGAGTTTTACTAAGAGGAAAAGCGAATGAACACTAATCTAGTCAAGTCACACTTCATGGTGTACCTGGTTTTTAGGGATGCCTGGTTACACTCAATATCCAAACCTTTGTAACACTTCAGATGTGCTTTAAAAGTAAACAAAGAATATTAATCCATGCATAATTATGCATGACTGAATACATCAAGTATTCATCAGTCTTTATTAATTTTGTAAGTATCTAAAAGTTATTTAACCTCTCAAAAATTCTTATCTTTTTTAAAAGCAGTTAGTGTTTCATCTGTAAGCTGCTATGTAAATCCTTAAAAGCCAAATTATCTTCCATAATATTGAATTACGTTGCACCGCAAGTGCGTGTGATGCTTCAT